TAGCTAATATTGATCAGAAAAACCCTGTTGTAATAGCTTTTTTAATTCGTCTTTACAAAATATACATGTTGTAATATGCATGCAATTCCGTGAAGTCTGACCCGTTTCTATACTTTCAAGCTCACTTTAAGTATTAATACTGTTCTAATTTCAAAGCTGGGCAAATCCATGGCTTTGTGTGTTAAACAAACATTTTATTCCAAATAAGATTACAATTGTCAAAATTCTGATATAGTTAAGATTAGTTTTCCTATTCCCTAAACACCCCTAACTCTCATTTCTCCTCTCTCTATCAACTGTATGGTGTTGCATTAAAATAAAAGAAAACTTAACTCAACAAAATAAGACAATGCACTGGGTACAGTTGTAAAAATGAATTATCTAAAATGGAAAATTGTCTGGACGGATTCCCGATATCAGAATTATCAACATTTGTTTTATGACAATTTTATATTTTTTCTTTACATAATACGTCAGTAAACTCAATGGCACTTTGCGTGCATTTATAGCCAGCAATCATTGATGTTAATATTCTATTTACATTTAATGGCAAGGATTTTCTGATATACCGAAATAAAAACTGGACTTTTTTTCTATCTTCAAAAGGCAGGTTTAAGTAATGAAAGAAGATAATAGCGTGCAAAACTTTGACGCATAAGTTGTAAAATATTGTCATTACCTGTGTTAATCAAAGTATTTTGTAATACGAAAGCAATAAAATGCAATAATGGCTACATGTTTGGGCTAGCGATTTAATGATTTGTCAGATAGGTTTGAAGACGTGTCTATTACAATGAATTTGCGACCAAGATAAATGATCTAGATTATAATATGCTTACTTACAAATTTGCGATTATATCAGGTATATTGAAGTTATGGTGCATATTTAATTTATTATCCTATAAAAGTTAAAGTGACATTATGCTCATATTTTCATAGTCAAGTTGAGCTGAACTGACTATATATTTCAAAATATTGACTGTTAAAATGGTGATTGACCAACAGTTCATATTGGAAAATGTTTAGGATAAAATTTAAATCTGCCTAAAATATAAAAAGACTGCCCCACTCTTTTTATGAACTGAACGTTACAGGTAAATTCTAATGGATATTTACGAAAAATTCATTTGGATCCATGCGTTGTTTATTGTTAATGTGAAATAATTTTTTATATTAAAAGGAATTATGGCAAAATGAAAACTTATTTTGACTTTCACCTGTTCACTCATTTATACCCTTGGATGGGCATAATGTCTAATAAAATGTTGAAGCCTTAGAGATTGCCCAACACGGCAAATAAAAAAATGTATATCGGGGTTCTTTGCCACTAGAACATAAATGATTTTCTTATCGATTAAAACCAAATCTTAAACTAAATATAATTAAGCTATATACTTAAATTTATTCTTAAGTTATTACAGGCAATGCAGAATTTTTTAACTCATTTTCTGAAATAGTTCTTTAGTGGCTATTTAAAATATAGCATTTTCAAAGACTCCTAATTATTTAAAATCTAAATAAACGAAATAAATTAAAGTAACACAGACTTAAGCAACAACAACAACAACAACAGTTGCTACATCAGATATCCTATTAATCTTTTTTTGTGCAAAAAAAATACTTTGAAAAGGACACGATATCTTTGTAGGCAAAGGTGAAAAAACTAAGGACTTCTGTCGGCCCATTAGCGGAACACATAGTACTTCAACGGTTTCTTTATTCATTCAAACAAAAACAGAAATCGACTTGTTTTGTTCTTGTAACCAAAGTTTTAGCTTATCATCTCTTAAAAAAAACATCATCAGGTAAAAGGGTTTCAATACAACCGAAACCATAAAAGAAAGATCATGACAATTTTTTGAAAAGATTCTGTCTGTTAACTGACGGGTAATATAAGGAAAGTATATATAACTGTCACGCGGAAATATCCCTCAAACACTCCTTTTAACATCGATTTAATAACAGGAAACATATCAGAGTCACATATGGAGTGACATGACATTAATAAATACTGCTTAAGCCGGTGCTGGGGGATAGGACAAATAGTACATATCATTATCTCCCATTCCTATAACTGAGATCAATTAAAGCTAGTCTGAAAATTTTCATTTGTTAGTGTCTTCATTGTTTTATATGGATATCCCTATAAATATGCCTCGTACCTTATCTTAGGATAAAGTGTCAAGTACGTATATTTCTAATCAAAGTCACGCTTCTTAAATAGTGTATGTCCTAATAAAATGTGTTTTTAGAACCGCCATATAACCATTTCCTTGAATTTTGACGTTATAATGGAACACATCCTCTTAATAAATTTACAAAAAAGTACTAAAATAGGTATAACGAAAATTGTCGAATGCTGAAGTTATTCCGTTTTTTTACGATATTTTTCGAAATTATCCAATATTAATTTATTCATTAGAAGTCGTTATCCTTTAATTTCAGTTTGTTTCTTATTTTCCATTTTCAAATGTACTACAAAAACGTATATATTGGTCGGAAGTAAAAAAGACTTCAGGTATACATGTAGTGTTATTGCGTTCATTTAAGTGTTAAATTGCGTAACTTTTTTGCAACGGTTTTTGTGTGCCTTTTCTGATACAAATTGTCATATTTAATGTCTCAGAGTCTTGTATTAACTACTTTAAAACGGACAACACGTATTTTGTAATCCTCTTTGAAGATATAATTGGTTAAGAGGATAATACAACGAACATAAACGTGATGAAACAATATTTTATAGACTTAGTGGCTTGACTGATCCTCCTTTGTAGCGATTAAATACTTTTTGAAAGTCAGTGTACAAGTATGTAGAACTATAAATTCAAATTTAATATTAAGTTTTATATATATTGTGTCATTGTTTGATGAATGGGAGAGACAAAAGTTAGTTTTAATTTGCTGCTTGTTTTATTTTTTATTGTATATAATGTCAATTTATAACGATGGTGTTAGGAGTATGTTCTATTCTGATAAATTTATTTAACCCATATTTTTGAACTGTGGCAATGGTTATTCATGAATTCTTTCATATATATTTTCTGTATATTCTACCTTAAATGTGTTGTGAAAGGACGCTTTTAAAATGAAATTAGAGATATGGCTTTGTTTACGTTGTTTGCACTGTTCTTTTGGTTATTGTCTTTTGGTTAGTTTAATTATATATCATTGCGATTTAGTTATTATCTAAAATTTAATTATTCTCACCCATTTTAAATATTTATTTTCTATGTGTTTTGCATTTTGATTTGCGATATTTTTATTTCAATAACATGGTGTCTTACGTCATGTTCAGTATGTTCTGTTGTTTTCATTGTAAATGATGTTGTTGTTGAATTCATTGTAAAATATTGTTTCTATCGAGTTTTTCTTCAATGTTTACTATTTAGAAAACCTTTAATAAATAAATGACAACATGAGCGAAATGAGAGTAAATAAGTAAATAAGTTTCTTGAATTCCGTTTTTAAAATTGGTCTTGTTGTATAAGATAAATTATAGATGTCTTTAAGTGTGTCTAAAATAAAATGTTGAATAATTTCAGTAAAGCGACCGAAAAAAGAGAACATTTCTTTCAAAGCAATTCAATTACTTCTTTCAAAAATGCAACTGCACTTCGCGAAAGCGATTGAAAAGATACGATTGCTAATAACAAATAGACGCAGTATGCAAATAGAATTGCACCGACACAATTCTATTGACACTAAACATAAATCATGTTTAACTATAAGGCATTACTTTCCCTGCTGACTAATGTCATGTAAAGATTTTATCTACAAACCAATCTGTTTCATAAAATCTGATTTTCACAATATTAAATCATAATATATTTTTTTAAAAATTCCATAATTTTAATTGTTCTTTTGATATTTCGATTACAGAAATTATGACGAATTTTGAAGAAAGTTTATGTTTATGATATTTAAATGAATCATAAATCTTTCATCACCTACATTGTTTTATAATAGTCATTCTATTAACATATGATATCAAAGCATCTTACCTTCATTAACAAGATTTTAATGATATTTTAATGATTTATATTTAAAGTATAATAAATGCGTTATACAGTGACGATATATTTGAATTTGATTTGTGCTTGTTGAAATAGAGAAATAAGAACCTCTAAGGAAAGTCCGAAACAACAAAATTGAAAATGTTGCAGGCTCGGTTTGATTAAGCTTATTGTTGAAGTTCATTAACGCTAGATGCGATGCATTCTGATCTATGTCATCAGGAAAAATAGCATAGCAAAAATAACATTGAAAAATAACATAGCCTGCAGATCTATGTTGTTTGACATGACTGAATACAGTTTGTTGCTTAGTGTAAGTTGTTTGATAAAAATAATTGATACAATATTTCTAAAGTAGGGCTATTCCAATGCACACATTCAGAAAGACATTGGTTATTATTTAACTCTTACCACGCTAAATACTTTAAATGGACGCACCCGTCTTTCAATATGGATAAAACCATTCATGATTTTCGGGAAGTTTTCAATAAAGTAACGACTAAATATCGAATATTGAAGATTATGATCAGGCAACACGGATGCTTTCCCACTTATTTTGGTCTACACTGTCCACATGGGTAAAATGCTACCATTATATTTTGTTCAACACATTATGCAATACTAGGTTCACGATAATAATCTTTATTATCATGTACATCTTTATAAAAAACAAGCAACAAACTGTTTTGATCATGACATCAACTGCTCCATTACAAATAGACCATTGATGAAGTTTTCAAGTAAAGAGATTTAATATGTCCCAATAAACATTGGGGCAGCTATGTCCAGGATTTTGTTCAAGCATGTTGAGTACTGTATCATTCTAGATCATAAATTGCCGACCTTAAATCAAAGGAATTAAATAACAGGAGGATGCAGTCTGGTTAAATAAACACATTATTTATAATTCCTTATTGGGAAACTGATTATAGGGACGGTTCTAGAGCGTAACAGGCACTCACTGAATGTTCTGCTGTACGAACCATTTACGATATTGGAATCCTGACGTAAGTATTAAAGAGAGCATCCTGGTCATAACAGATCACGTATAAATAGAGCAGTTGGACGTGCAAGATTACTTTGTTCATAAACAGTTAGTGACCCGGGCATGAGGATTAATTATAAAATGTGTTAACGTCAGAGAAAGAGAGTAGTAAAAAAATAATGAGACTATATCAAAACGTAAGCAATATGCGGATTAAATATAAACGACTGAATAAAATAGAATTTAATATTTATATCAATTTAGAAGGAGTAAAATTGCAAATTAAAGTCAAAAGTCCATATAAAGGTGCTGATTTTGTTTTGCTTTTAAAAGAACAATCATCTCATGAAGGAATCATTTTTAATATTTGTATAAGAATAACAGATACGTATAAATAAAAATAGATAATTTTATAGAGGAAGAAAAGTGAGAAAAAAAAGAAGTTTGAAAATGGAACTAGAATAATTATAGCACTTTTGAAATAAATAAAGTTCTAAAAAAATAACACGTTAAAACAATTAAAGGGCCATATTCTAAGTAACCTCATTTCAGTCATCGACAAAAAAGAAACAATTATAACTGTCATTTCTACTTCTGTTACTAAAGTAACTTAAGTAAAAACTGTGGACTTAATTGACCGTGTTTGGAGATGGTATCTTCAGTTTGCATACTGATCTTCAAAGGAGTATCACAAAGCATTGTGGTGAAATCGGTAAATATAGATATTTTAAATATTTTTTAGTTGAAAAGAATGGAAAAACAAAAGTTATAAAATACGGCGTTTAAACGTCAAATGTGTCAAATGATGAAATATATGTCTAGGTTGTTTTTTTTTGAGAAACTATATTTTAAATTGAAAGACAAAATGAAAGGGTTGGTGTAAAGACGAATCTCATTATATGGTGACTGTAAGAGAAAATATGGAGAAAAACAATTTTATTAAAGCGGCCGTCAGTTCGAAAAACAATTCTCTGTTGTTTCGAACTAAGTTTTTCAGTGTTAAAAGACGTGTCTAACAATAAGAAGATCGGGAAAGAAATCGTTCGCTTTACTAATTTCAAAATAGAGAGCGGACCGGTAGATTATTAGAGGTTGTTTTCTTATTCTTTATACATATATATTCTTTATACATATATATATATTTAATATTTATAAATCTCACTTTCCACCTTAATTGTTTTGATTTGACCAATTGTTTGAAACGATTTATCTAAAAACAACAAATTAAACCGTTAGAAATACTGAAGGCCGCTTTTATCAATGTTTATAATTATGCATATACGGTAATAGTGGGAATTTTGCTAAATATTTTTTTTTGTTCCTGATAATTGAAAATAATATATGCGTTGGCTTACTTCATATTCTATTGCATGTTGCAACATGCTTATTATATTTATATTATATTTTCCTCGTAGCTTCAATAACTTGGTATAACAATAGAGTAGTGAAACACAGTGAATAAAGAAGACATAATAACTGAACAATTGCAAACTTGAAAACATAAAATAAATACAAAAAATTTGATATTTGATAGACCATATGAGATACAAGTAATAAAATTCAAATCACGGATACATTGAATGAAAGCGAGAAATTTAAAGAATGATTAACAAGTTGTTTTGTAAATAAAACACATGTTTACAACATGACTTACAGTCAAGGATCGGGGGGTGGGGGGGTGAGGGGTGAGGAAAAGACAGGTATTTAAAGTTATTCAGCACGTAAATTGTTTAGAATATGGCTACAGCCATGCTTAAATTATCATTAGAATTTACGAAAATCTTTATAATTCTAAACTGATATTTGCCTGTAAAGTGATTGATGCTTAAAACATCTTTCTTCCGGTCTAATTTGTTTAAATAAATAAAATTGAAAAATTATTAAAACAATCGCCGGCATTAAAGGAAAATCGTATTTTACGGCTCTTGAAAGATAACCAAAGAAAATGTAAAATTTCTCCGCACAATCTTCGTTAATACAAATGTAAAAAGAACTTTAAAAAAAACACTATTGAAGGTTGATACACATTTTGAAATAGATAGTTTCTTATCAAGTTTCCAGAGTGGTTTGAAATCTTCGTATCAAAAATAATAATTATAATAATATTATAACATTCGTCATTAACCGCAGTACATACTTCATGCTAGAGAGATTTATCGGGTCGAGTTTAAGCGGTGTAAAACCAAAAAAAAAAACGTTGACATGTGTATGAATTTATAAGCGTTATGCATTAAAACATAACACTTTCTGATAAATTTTCTCCTAAATTGATTCTATTTGGAATATGTTTTGCAGGTAAGTAATTTTTGTTTTAAGAAATATTCAGTTGAAATAATTTTTTGTAGCCATCAAAGTTAGCGACGAGATTCTGGTCGCTGGCACATACACATCCGAACTAGTATATATAATGACCTGATTTACTGGTATAATCATTCTTCTTTTATTTTCCCCTTTCACATATAAATGATAAACTGTGTTTCTGTCTATTCTAACAATTTATCTCATTATCTATTAACTGTGAATATTTGGACACCATACAGGTTCGGGTGTAACAAATATTTCTGGACAGAAAATTCAATGCCAAATATATTTTTTCTGGAATTGCCGTATAATACATTTCTATAGAGTTTGATAAACGAAATCACAATTTGAAGTACTATGCACATGTTTCGATATTAAAATCATGAATCTAATTATCACGCGCACTAACATGACGTTGACATTTTATGCCCATTAAACTATAAGCACTTTCATCATCAGTCAGATTTTGTTCTTTGTTTAGAACAATTTTGAATATCATTACATATAACTTGGAACTTTGCCGTGTATACCTGATAGTTTTGTTACTTAGTTGCATTACTTATGATTCTCTTTTGATCAAAAAGGCCCAAAATAGCCACGAGTCGCCAATAAAGAACGAAAATGCACGCTAAGTAGAAAATAGTAAACAGATAAATGATTTTACAAAACAACAGCCATCGATCACAGTCAAATTTCTTGAAACAAAACATTAAAAAAGACGGAAATAACAATGATTATCAATAATTATACAAATATTTACATTTACATCTGTAATAGCAACACCGGCAAGATCTATGACTGGGGTCCATATGACACTGATGCGTCCATTGAATAATTGAGTATATTCAATTTTTATCTGACTAACCTCTTTATTTACATATCAGATAATTCACTTATTTTGCATATGCATCATGTTTATTTTGTTTTAGATTTTAATATGTGGTCCTTTTTTAAATCTTAAAATGCTACAAAAATCATGTTGAGGACATCTACAGGTCATGCCGCGTGCAATAATCCATGCATTTACAGCCAATGACCACATCGATAAGAAATAGTAATTGTTACTCTTGGATTATTTTTGTTACAGTCAGACAATTCAGTTGACAATATCATATGTTCGGGGTAATAAGATAAATAACACATGGGTTAGTGAGTAACAGTAAACATCCCTCGTAAAATACTATGACCATCGGCTACGCCTCGGGTAACAGTATTTTCCTCGGGATGATATTGTTACTATTACCCACAAACCCATGTGTTATTTATATAATAACATACTAGCCAATATTGATCAGAAAAAAAACTGTTGACATAGCTTTATTAATTCGTCTTTACAAATTTTACATGTTGTAATATGCAAGCAATTCCGTGAAGTCTAACCCGTTTCTATACTTTCAAGCTAACTTTAAGTATTCAGATTGTTATAAATTCAAAGCTTGGCAAATCCAAGGCTTTGTGTGTTAAACTATCATTTTATTCCAAATAAGATTACAATTGTCAAAATTCTGATAAAGATAAGATTAGTTTTCCTATTCACTAAACACCCCTTACTCTCATTTCTCCTATCTCTATCAACTTTATGGTGTTGCATTAAAATAAAAGATAACTTTACTCAACAAAATAAGACGGTGCACTGGGTGTAAAGATGTAAAAATATATTATCTCAAATGGAAAATTGTCTGGACGGATTTCCAATATCAGAATTATCAACATTTGTTTTTGACAATTTTATTGTTTTTTTCTTTACATAATACGTCAGTAAACTCAATAGCACTTCGCGTGCATTTATAGCCAGCAATCATTGATGTTAATATTCTATTTACATTTAATGGCAAGGATTTTCTGATATCCAGAAATAAAAATTGGATTATTTTTCTATCTTCAAAAGGCAGCTTAAAGTAATGAAAGAAGATAATAGCGTGCAAAACTGTGTTGTAAGTTGTAAAATATTGTCATTACCGGTGTTAATCAAAGTATTTTGCAATACATCGGCAATAAAATGCATTAATGGCTACATGTTTGGGCGAGTGATTTAATGACTTATTAGATAGGTTTGAAGACGTGTCTATTACAATAAATTCTAACAGAGATAAACACTCTAGACATATAATATGCTTACAAGTTTGCGATTCTATTAGGTAAATTGAAGTTATGGCGCATATCCCATAAAAGTTAGTAAAACTTTGAAGCCTTAGAGATTGTCCATGATGGCAAATTAAAATAATATATATATGCTCGGTTTGATTCTGTCTGTTCATAGGCGGGAATGGTGTAAATAGAAAGGCTACTGGTGATTCCTACCTAAAGCAGAGCTCAAAATTACAAAAATGAAAATGGTAATTTATTTTAAAGTTTTGCAACTTTCACTGATGGCAAATTGAACTATTATGCTCTTTTACCCATAACATGTTCGAGGCTATTGGCACTAGAATATAAATGTTCATCTTATCGGTTAAAACTAAATCTTAAACCAAATAAAATTAAGTTATGACAAGCAATTACAGAATTTCAAAATTGAAAAAATGCTTTTAATGACTATTTAGAATAAAGCATTTTCAAAGAATCCTAAATATAATTCATTCAAATGTAAAAAACGAAATATGTAAAAGTAGCACAGACTTAAGCAACAACAACAACAGTTACTACAACAGATATCCTATTTACCTTTTTTGTGCAAGAAAAAATATATACATTGAAAGGAACACAATATTTTTGTATGCAAAAGTGAAAAGAATAAGGACCTCTGTCGGCCCATTAGTAGAACACATAATACTTTAAACGGTTTCTTTATTCATTCAAACCAAAACAGAAATCGACTTGTTTTGTTCTTGAAACCAAAGTTTTAGCTTAGCATCTCTGAAAAAACATCATCAGATAAAAGGGTTTCAATAGAACGGAAACCATAAAAGCAAGATCATGACAATTTTTTAAAAGATTCTGTCTGTTAACTGACGGGTAATATAAGGAAAGTATATATAACTGTCACGCGGAAATATCCCTCAAACACTCCTTTTACCAGCAATATAATAACAGGAAACATATCAAGATAGCAGGCATGAAGGGAGTTGAGTTAAGTAAATACCGCTTAAGCCGGTGCTATGGAAGGTATGAAAAATTAGCACTTATCATTATTTCCCATGAACGAGATCAATTAAAACGAGTTTGCAATTTTCACCTATTTGTGTGTGATTTTTATTGCTTTATAATGATTTACCCTTTCGCACAAGTGTTATATTCAAAATAGCATGTTATACAGTAACAAGTTAAATGTTGATGCTGCACATCAAAGACGCCGCCAAATGATGTGAACAGTCAATCCTCATTGAAAATCGGTCTCTTTAACAGTTGAATATTCGAAGCACAAAACAATCTTTTCTCCATAATCTTGGTATGTGCTCGTTGTTTAATAAT